TGCCCCCGCTGCGCCGCCCGCCCGCCCCGCAGGTTCTCCGACGCCGAGGTCCAGCGGGACGCCAAGCTGGTGTCGTACAACATCGTGGACAAGCAGAGCAAGCCGTACATCCAGGGTAGGAACCTGTACTGCACCTGTGCCGCACGTCGTACCACAGCCAGGGCCCTGGAGTGTGCGTGCGCCGACTGTGCTGCCCGGCAGCTGCATCGCTGCTGCGTGCCTGGGGCCTCACCCCTGCCCCCACACACCCACCTCCCGACTGACCTCTCTACATCGCCCCCCCTGCCTCCTCCTTTCTTCCGCCGCCCTCCTGAACTCTGCCTGCAGTGGAGGTGGCCGGCGAGAGCAAGTCCTTTTCCCCAGAGGAGATCTCAGCCATGATCCTCACCAAGATGAAGGATACAGCTGAGGTGCGCCGCCGGTCGCCTGCCGCTTGCCTGCCTGCATGCGCTCGAACCAGCCATGCACGCCTTCGGCCCACTGCACCCTGCATCAGCACCGCGCCTGTGCAGCCGTCCACGCCGCAGCAGCCCCAGGCGCAACCTCCACCCCGCTGGCCCGCTGGCGGCGCTTGACCCCTGCTCCCCCGCCTCTCCCTCCCTCCCTCCCCGCCTCAGGCCTTCCTGGGCAAGACCGTGAAGCACGCTGTGGTCACCGTCCCAGCATACTTCAACGACGCGCAGCGCCAGGCCACCAAGGTGGGCGCGGGGCGGGGCGGCGGGCCCTGGCCGGCACCGGCCGGGCGGCCCGCCGGCGAGGCAAAGTGCAGCGGCAGGCCGCGGGCCGCCTCGGCGGCCTGCCGCTCCTCCCCTGCCTCTCCACCCCTCGCACAGGGTGCCTCCTCCACTCCCCTCCGCCATGCCTGACACCAGCCCTGCCCCCTTGCCCTGCCGCGCAGGACGCGGGCGTGATTGCGGGGCTCAACGTGGTGCGCATCATCAACGAGCCCACCGCCGCAGCCATTGCCTGTGAGTGGCGCGCTTCGGATGCGGCGGCAGCGGCCTGCCGAGCGGGCCGTCTTCGGGGTGCCGCCGCCTCCCTGTGCTGGGCCTCCGAGCCTGCTCACCTCCCTACATCCCTGCCTCCCTGACTGGCTTGCTCACTCACTAAATCACTGGATAGCTCACTGGATAGCTCACCCACGCCTCCCTCCCTCCCTTTCTTTTCCTCCTTTCCTCCCGCCCCGCAGACGGCCTGGACAAGAAGGGCAAGGAGCAGAACATCCTGGTGTTCGACCTGGGCGGCGGCACCTTCGACGTCTCCATCCTCACCATCGACTCTGGCGTGTTCGAGGTGGGCGGGGGATGCGTGTGTGTGGGCGTGTGAGCCTGTGGTGGCATGTGTTGTATGGCGGCGGCGAGCAGACGACGGGATGCAGCGCGAAGCCTCCCACTCGTGCCCGCCACGCAACACACCCCTTGTACACTCCACACACGCACCTCCCCTCCCCTCCCTTGCCTTCCTCCTCCCTCCTCCCCCGCGCCCCCCAGGTCATCTCCACCTCCGGCGACACCCACCTGGGCGGCGAGGACTTTGACCAGCGCGTCATGGAGTACTTCATCAAGCTGGTGAAGCGCAAGTTCAAGAAGGACGTGTCCACGGACGCGCGCGCGCTGCAGGTGGGCAGGCGGTGGTGGCGGTGGTGGTGGTGGCAAGCTGGGCATGCCCGCTGTGCATGCCGCGGCTGTGCCCGAGTTGGAAGATGGCTTGCATCCAGATGCTGACCCTCCTGCCCTGGCCCCCTCCCGCCCCGCCCTCCCCGCCCGCAGAAGCTGCGCCGCGAGGCGGAGCGCGCCAAGCGTGCCCTCTCCTCCCAGCACCAGGTGCGTTGTGGGGCTGTACCGTACCATCG